AAAATACATCAAAATCTTAAAAGCATTGGCTGAGAAATCAATTATCTATATGATGCTATGACCAAATCATCTGAGTCCAGTACATCCGAATCGAGTTCAGCTGAAGAAGCTTATACAATAGAGGAGGAACTCAGGGAATCAGTTTTTACGCCACTTAATAAAGTAATACATGTGAAGAAAAGATCTGGTAATAAGAAGATGAAATGTAAAAGATATCCATTCCGTTCTGTTAACGTTAAATCAACTAATAATTGAATCAGGTAAACTAACTAGTAATAATGACTAAGAAATCGAGGAATAATAGGCGTAAAACTGCAAGTAAGTTCACTACTAATCCCACACAGTACTTGCCATTATGCAATCCGGCCAAATATGATCATACATATGATAGGGCAACTGGCTTTATTACTGTCAGGAATATAAAAGAGGATTGAGTAGTAGGCGTGTTCGACTACCCCGAACTGGGTGAATATCTGGGAATTCGATTCTGAATATATATATTTAATATTTTTCTTGTCATTTTAGCGATGGCCTAAAAACATGTGATATACTCCGCTTTGTAAGGCTAAGGCCTATTTTTTCGAATAATTAGACTATTTTTCACAGATAAGAAATGGAAAGCAATAAAAAAGAGAATCCCAAGATGAGCTAGCTTGATCATGATTCCTCATCCCTTATTTCTCCTGATCTGATAGAACTAACCCAAGCACTAATGAATAGTCTAGAGAAGCTTGAGAATCTCGTAAAATTAATAAAAAGTGATAATAACAAACCATTATCGATAGATTTTTCAGATTCTAATTTCCCAAGCAGATCGACTAAAGTTAATTCAGAGAAGTGATCACCCCTCCCTTATCCAAGGATTGCGGGAGATAATCCTGAAATCTGTGATTGAGAAAGGCTTTTGCAGAAGAAAGCCTAGCTTCTTTTTTTGAATCTAGTAAGAAAAAAGCAATAATATTTTCGCATGATTAGGAGTATGATAATCACTCCTTGGTTTCAGCCATGATGATTGCTCAAGCAATCGGATTGCAGGATAATTCTCTATATCAGGTATTGATCGTAAGGTGCTAGGAAACAAGTTGGGTTAAAGTGGGGTTGGAGAGTAGTTCAAGAATTCTTAGTGATTGTTACAGAACATTCACATGTATGGTTGAAGAAATCACTATTAAAAACATAGTAAATTTCGATCAACAGCAGATGAATGGATAATATTAAGTTGTATTTAGGTTGACGTCTAGGTAAGTACTTATAAAAAGCATTCCATATCCCGCTATACAAAAAATAATTTTTTTCAGGGTGGATAGCCTTTTGATTATTTGGAAAATGGTTGACTGGACCGATACACAAACCTGTATCCTTATTGACGAGCGTAGAAATAGGAACGAAGAATATCACAATTTGGGAAGAAATTGAGATGTATTTTTGGAAAGTATTGTGACTAGAATTAATGAAGAGCTTGATTCTAATTTCTTGGGATACCATTGTAAGGAAAAATTCAGGAATCTTATTCGGGACTATAATGTAAGTGTAAATGATAATAGACATTATATAAGTGTAAGCGGATCCTAAATATTCTTTTACACTCTCTGATGACTAGACGATATATGAATATATGAATGGAAGTCAAACAGCTCGAAGGAGTCAGGCAGGAGCTAGATATTTTGATGAGTTCCACTCTCATTTTTGGGAAAGACCTGAAGATCCATTCGATAGAATCCGTAATATGAATATTTTCAACCGCAGACGTAGTAGGAGAGGTTCTTCACTAGCACCTTCTATTGAGGAGGTTGAGCAGGCACTAAGCCAGAGATCATCTAGCCAAAGAAGTCGAAGGAGTTGAAGCAATCAAAGGAGTCGTACACATTCGAAATCACCATCTCGTAATGAAGATGATAATACAGGAAATTCAGCCGAAGGAGGTAGTAATATAACAACTTCATCCGTTCAACAACCATCTTATGAAGCCAATCAGCAATCATCTAATAGTGCAGATGATGAGGTTACTTTGAGACCTGGTAATAATGTAGGACAATGAAAAAAAATAATAAAGTTTTTCCATATCGGGTCTTTCTCCTTTTTTATTCATGTGTATCTGTAAATGCTGTATGAGCGCTTATCAAATAAAATGATACGTGCATTCATGAGGGATCTGCAAACTAATCTACATGCGTATGAATATAAAATTACCTCATTTTTTCTTTACTATTCGCTCAGAAATTTCGTTTACCTTAAGTAAGGAAAAATCATGTGACCAAAATTTCTGAGACCAGCTGATCATCTCATTATTTGAGTTGCGGGAAGGTTGCGAGAAAGTGCTGGGAACTGTCTGGGAGTTAGGGTGATACTTGTGTTATGATAACGTCATGTGAGGCTAATCTCTGTTAATCACGAGAGATTCACACAGCCTGTATTAAATCATCTTATACTCTGAATTTCTGGCGATCATACCTCTAATTAGCTATTATGCCATTGGAAAATCCCTTACATACATGTGAATATATATATAGCCAGATGTAAACCTTATATAAACTCTCGATATGCTTGTAATCAAATAAAAATGAATCCGATACTTTATTATAATATACTTGCTACAAACTACTATAACAAGAAATATTCGCTAAAAACGTTATATATCACTAAAATTGCTACAAACCCCTATACCTATACACTAGTCAAAATAGTCCAAATCAGCCTAAAATCGGATAGCCGATTTTAGGCCGATTTTGATACTATTTACGATCAATTTTCTATATTTTCTGATTAGCACAAATAGGTGCTGATAGATGTCGATCGACCCCAATTGGACATGGCCATTTGAAACTTAAATTCAACCATAAATCAGCCTAAAACTGGTCTCAATTTGGCAACAATTCAGATGCTGATAGACGCTGATCGACATGGCCATTCAGCCTAAAATTGACCTTAATTCAGCATCATTC